ATTTCTTATCAAGTCTACAAACTATTTCTTAAAATTGAAAAGTTAATGAAACAGAAACTAGAGACTATCACATACCATCTTAAAAGAGCACACTCTCTTATAAATCTATTGATTACACAATTTAAACTAACAGGGAAAAGGAGGGAAAAAAGAAACCCCAAACCAGAAGGCAACAGGAAAACCAACTGCTTTCTTTCCTGCAGTGGAAAGGCTCAGATTGCTTACAGCAGTCTGTGAGCTGGAAAGAAGACTCCTATAGCATATGCTTGCAATCAAATTACATGTACTGTCATCTTATTCCATGAAAAGGAATTAAAAGCCCCATCTTTCAGTCTAGGGTACCCTGTGCTACTAACAAGCTAACATTTATTCCAAATATATCTTGGCATACATTTCTAAGGAAGTCACACAGTATCAGGATGTACAGTTCAGTGGTTAGAGATATGGCTAAGTTGGTAGAGTGATTGTCTAGCATGCATGAAACCTGGGTTTAGAGTGCCAGCACTCCATAAGCTAGGTGTGGTGGTGTATGTCTAATCCTAGCACTTACATCAGTACCCAGGGAACACCATCTCCCCCAAGGGGCAGTCCCTTAGCAGCCTACTCACACTACCTCTGATACATCTACTATTTCTCTCTCTGCCCTGTAAGCTTTCCCTTATAGCATTTTCTAGTTCCCCAATACAGTTACTTTCCAGACTGATGTTAACGGCCACTGGACCATGAAATTCACAAAGACAGAGACACTGATTTGTTCTGTATATCCAACACCCAGAACAGCAACATATGAAAGGTACTCAGTAAATACCTGTTGAGCTGATAAACCATGTCAACAAATGGACAGAATCCAGATGATGCTCACTTCACAGGCCAGCGCAGTAGTTACCAATTTTAGCTCCAAGTCAGACTCACCTGGGGAATTTCTTTAAAAAAATTTTTTTTATTTATTATTTTTATTTTATGTGGTGAGTGTTATGCCTGCATGTAGGTTAAATGCACCTGTGTCGTGGAATGAGGCTGTCAGATTCCCTGGAACTGGGAGTTATGGAAAGTTGTTAGCTGCCATGTGGGTGCCAGGATTTGAACCCAGGTCTTCTACAAGAACAGTGTTCTTAACCACTAAGTCATCTCTCCAGCCCGGGAATTTCTTTTTTAATCTCAGTACCTGATCTTCCTCTGGAACAACTTGAGGCTGTGGGAATAAGGGACGGAGTTTCTATATTTGTTTCCAGGAGTTCTTCAGATGACTCCAATGAACAGCCAGGGTTGAGAATCATGAGTTTAATGTGAGAGTTGCTCAGCAATCACAATGAAGTGAACCAGATGTTTTCCTACAAGAGGCACTGTCTGAGGAGACTCTGTGGTGAGGAATATGGTCTACACTGCCCAACATGCTAGCTTTTAGTCATGTCTTGTCACTGAGACTGAGGAATAGAACTTTAATATCATTTGATTTAAAAATATTTTATTATTTTTATTTTATGTGTATGAGTACATTGCCTGCATGGCATCCTGCAATGCCTGCAGAGGTCAGAAGAAGGTGTTGGATCCCCTGTAACTGTAGTTATAGACAGTTGTTAGCTACCATGTGGGTGCTGGGAACTGAACCTGGGTCCTCTGCAAGAGCAACCAGTGTTCTTAACCTCTGAGTCATTGCTCCAGCACACTTATTTGATTTTAATTACTTTAAAAAGTACATGTGAATAGAAGTTACTCTAATGGACAGTGCAGACCCTAAGGGGAAAGCACATGGTACTGTGCCTACCACAGGCTAGAGGTTCCCAAATTCCAACAGCTGTGGCCCAACTACAAGGGGTATACAGTCCGGTGGACGGGAAGGCACCCAACTATGGACACACCCCTTCAATGCTCTCCTTTACACTCCCAAAGGGACCATTTCTCCCTCCTGTCACTCTAGAGCAGCTGTGAACGAGGAAACCCTCTGTGCTGGTTATCTCCCTGCGCCAACTTGACACACCTGGGTTGAGGGAGCCTCAATTGGGGAATTGTCTCCATAGGACTGGCCTGTGGCCATGTCTGTGGAGTATCTTCTTGATTGTTAAGTGATGTGGGAGGGCCCAGCCCACTGTGGGTGGTGCCACCCCTAGGCAGGTGGGCCTGCGTTGCATAAGAAATTCTGCAGGCTGAGCAGGGGCCAGAGGATAAGCCAGTAAGCAGCAATCCTCCATGGCCCGTGCTCCAGCTCTTGCCTCCAGGTTCCTGCCCTGAGTTTCTACCTAGGGGTCCCTGATGAACTGTGACTTAGGAGATGTAAGATGAATAAACCCTTTCCTCCCCGAGTTGGTACTGGGCAGAATATTTTGTCACAGCAATGGAGAGACAAACTAGGACAGAAATTGGTACCAGAAGGTGGGATCCAGGGGACTTACAGTTCATCTTGGTGGGGAGGCATGGTGGCAGAGATGGCTAGAGGAGGGGGAGTGGAAGCTAAGCTCTATATCTTCCAGCAGGCACAGGAAACAAGAGAGCAACTGGAGATCTGGCAAGGCCTAAGAACTCTCTAAGCCCACCTCCAGTGACGTGCTTCCTCCAGGATAGCCACACCTTCTAAGACCTCTCAAAACAGTGCCACCATCTGGGGACAAAATGTCCAAATACTTGGAGCCTGTGGGGGACATTTTCATTCAAACCATCACACCTTTAAAGAAAAAGAAAGTGCATTCACACAAAAGAGAACCTTTGTATGAGCGGAAGGATGTAAGCATGCATCCCAAGGAAGGACACATGGAAAAGGGACACAGAGAGCCCAACATAGTAAGTATGGCAGTGCCTCTTGGGGAGGTGGAGCCTTAGCATGGAGCTATTCTGACATGGAGATCTGACAGCTGCTCCTGAGGCAGATAATGAATGATTTATCAAGGTCTCTGCTGCTCCCGTGTTATCTGCTTATACACCTTTACAATTTGTAGGTTAAGTGGCAGTTACTGTTAGTTACTATGTGGCAGTTACTGTTAGGACTCTTGCCTTGTCCATCTAATACCCTATACATCAAATACTATTTTCTTACTTTATGGTGAGAAAATCTAAGACTCAGAGAAGTCAAATAACGTACTCAGGTTTAACAACTATGACAAAGCTACAATATTTGAGTTTCTTCCCTTTATAAAGGGGTGATCATTCATTCATTCTGTCTCTGTATCCACACACACACACACACACACACACACACAAAAAAAAAAAAAACACACACACACGTTTATTTACAAATTCCAGTCATTTTATGTTTTTTCTAATTCCCGAAAAGCTCCTGTGCAAATACTTGCTCTGCATATGTAATATAATCTATTGGTACCTAATCCATATACCTATAGAAAATACATAAAAACTAAAGGTAGCATTTGAGGACTCATCACAAAGTAAACTTAACCATGTAACCACCAGTCATATTAAAAAAATAACATTATCAACCTCTCAAAAGTACTCTTGTGGCATCTTCTAGTTTTTTGTTCTGCTGTCCTTAGGGCAACCATCTATAAAAAGCCTAGTATACTGTGGGAGTTTATCAGAATGAAGCAAAGGACAAAAGCTATAAAGAAGGCTTATCATTTAGGCCAAAGCTTAAAACAACATATGCTTACCCCATAACTAGACAACCATTATTTATCTGGTTAAATAAACATCATGGCTTGCTTGAATATAAACAAACTAGAGAGATGAGAGAGTGCAAAAATTTGCCAACAATGAATGTTACAGAGTATTTGAGGCATGAGAGGGGTTCAAAAGGACAAGAACTATGGGGTTTCCCATTAGGCTAGCGATTTAGGCTCTGATAATGGGGTAAGAAGGCAAATGAAGCATCTAGGGGGGTCAGGTTTTGCCTTTTTCATGGTCCTCTCTGGTCTATAAATACATAACAATAAAATTAAGGGAACATAGCATGTACTGAACTCCCGTGATATAATGTATAAACTGGGCTCACTAAATCCCTTCAACAAATCTGTAATGCCACTACCATATTTGCAGATGAGAAAAACAGGTTTAAAACAGTGAAGTAACCAGGTCAAGGTCACATTGTTAGTAAGTGGGTCAGCAAAGATGAAACCTGAAATCTGTCCAGCCTCAAAGCACGTGCACTTTCCTTTACAGCCAGCCATCTTCCCCTCCCAGGTTTTCTGTGGGGTTTCAGATAACTGATTTCTTAGAGAAAAGAGCTGGTACTGCAACCATGGTACCCGGTGAATCAGACACCTTGAAATATTTTGCTTCCAAGTCTCTCCTGGGGCCCAGAACCTAGCACTTCTTGTGGACACCTGTTATTTCAATTCATTTGGCTTGTTTTTCTCCACCGACAAAATACTTTTGTCACTGGACCAAAAGTAAAGCATTTACTTAAGTTATCTGGCATCCTCTTGGACAAAAGAAAAGATAGTGGGCAGCCTGTGAAGGTACGAACTTAACATTTCTCCTCTCCAACTCCTGCTTAGGATCCACGGTCAGTACTGGTTGTGTGCAGGCATACACAAGAAGGGGCAGAAAACCCTGTGTTTAACTGAGGACACTGGATCACAGGCCGATCAACCCCTCACATTTTGAATATCTCAAATCTTACCTGTGACAAAAATTAGCTACTACTGAGTTCTTAAAGGAATAATAAAATCTACTTCAACTACACAAACACTGAGAGGTTTTGACTAATAGGAGACAGAAGGAAAAAAGGAGAAAGAATTTCCTTGGCTAACTTTTCCTATTTGTATCAAGTCTTTTTGTTTCATTTTATGGGTATAAGTGTATTGAGTGCATGTATGTCGTGCAATGCCCATGGAGGTCAGGAGCGGGTGGTGGATTCCCTGGAACTGGAGTTACAGATGGTTGTTAGCCACCATGTGGGTGCTGGGAACTGAACCTGGCTCCTCTGCAAGAGCAGCCATTGCTCTTAACCACTCTCTAGACCCTTACGATATCCTTAAGAACATTTACATATAACAGACAACTCTGAAAATTATTTATGAATCATGGTATCTGACTTGGTAATTGCTTACCTTGACCAGAATTATATATTGCTTTTACAGATTTCTTCACTTTCTGTAGGGCTGTTCTATCTTGGTCTAGAGCCTAAAACAGAAAAAAAAAAAAAAAAAAAAAAAGGATGTTGAAAATTTTGGTACATTAAAACAACAAACAACAAAACTCATTCATCTCTTTTGCTGTGCATAAAGCACATCAACAAACAAGGAACCAGCTCCAGGACTAGAAGTGCCCGGGCTCGGAGCAAATGGCTTTTCTGGATAAATGGAGTCACTACACAAGGCTCAGTATTGCGTGAAATGGGTAACAAGGTAGCTTGCCAGCAGCCACACAGAGAAAATGCAGGAAATCTCAAAACTTGTTTCCTTCTCACACAGGTTTACTGCCCGTCAGTGGAGAAACGCACACCTAAGACCACACAACATCCAGGAACAGGACCTATCAACATCGAGAGCAAGTGCAGCCGGAAAACACCCTTAGTAGAGTGCAACACGTGTAGTTCCCTCTCCACTGTGCTTTGAAGGTTGAGGATTTCTTTGTTAAAGTTAACTGTGACACATGGAAGTTGTATTTTAAAAATCTATCTATTAAAAAAGAACAGCATGGAAACACCACCATGATACTGACGACTGTCTGAAGGTCCCACTCAAGCCCAGGCTGACTTTAAACTCCTAATTCCCTGGGCTCAGTCCCCTAAGTGCCAGGATAACAGGTGTGAATCACCACACCCAGCCACTGTTTGACACTTTTAGCCTGTGAAGTTCACTCATGGTTCAACTGCAATTTTTCTCCAGCTTCTGTTCTTCAGACGCCAGTGTCGAGGCAGGTGGGCACCTTGTCTACACTGGGTCTCTAGTTTCTTCCTCAGATTCTAGGCTTGGGAAAAGAGACCACAATAGCCAATCCCTTTCTGCTTAAGTCAGCCTGGGAGCACCGTGGGTTGTTTCTAGAACAATATTTTTAAAATAAATTAATTTCCTCCCCCTACTTTTTTCTGTCTTTTTGAGATAGGGTATCCCTAGCCCCAACCTACCTGGAACTCACTATGTAGACCAGGTGGGCCTCTATTTCAGAGATCTGCCTGCCTCTGCCTCCAGAGTGCTTGGATTAAGGATGTGCGCCACCACGCTGGGCTAATAAAGTGTGTGTGTGTGTGTGTGTGTGTGTGTGTATGTATGTGTATGTGTGTGTGTGTTGGTACAAGTATACCACAGCATGCATGTGGAGATTAAAGGACAACTTTCAGGAGTTAATTCTCTCTACCACTTGGGCCCAGGGATTGAACTCAAACTGTCAATCTTGGCAACAAGTCTCTTCAATTATTGAGCCATCTCACTGAACCTGGGTTCTAGTTCTAGATATGCAGAGGCATTGCACTAGACTTGATGTTAACAGAGACAAAGCACTAGGGACAAGAGGGAGAGGGGGGTCCTGATAGCATATGAACCTGTTTCTAGCCACCCTCTAGAGATGGGTCCTTGCTGACCTTAATGAAGTCTGAGTAAATGAGATAAACTCCCTGGTTCAAAGTCAGCTGAAGCTGGGGTATTGTCACTTGCAATTACAGATCCTCAACAACATAAGAGCTAAACATTACTGAGGACTTACTATATGTTAGGTGTAATGCTTATCACAGAAAACATACCAATTATGTAAGATAAACATACTTTCAATGATCTCTCCGCACTGACTCTTTACTACAAACAAAACTGAAACCTGTGAAACATCAACTCATTTTTAAGTATAAGAAATTGTGAGCCGGATGTGGTAGTGCATGCCTTTAATCCCAGTACTCGGGAGGCAGAGGCAGGTGGATCTCTGTGAGTTCCAGGCTAGCCTGGTCTACATGTTCCAGGCCAGCTGGGACTACAGGGAGACCCTGCCTCAAAAGACCAAAAAAAAAAGTACATCTATATATATGAAATCGTGATAGGCCATTAATAAATATAAGAATGGAGGATGGGAAAAATTACTTTGTCTGAGATCACAGAGCCCCAAAGCAATTAAGTCATTCTTCACACAAATGCAAACCAAACCCCCGAATGCATTTTCCTATTGGGAGGTTGGAAGAGGACCAGAGCTTTCAAAAACACTGCAGTGACTTCCTATGAAGTCATGTGGAAGCCAGAAGAGGGCTAAAAGAAAAATCCGCACAGTATGGGCCATACAATTACAGCTTTCGAAGTGTTAAATTATGACAAAATATGAGTCTGCATTCCTAAACATGCGTGTGAAGTTGACCGTCTCAGAAAGGCATGAGCAGGGAGAGTATGAACAACTGAAACACACAGGAGAGCAGCTCACGTCTAGTCAATCAGCAGTGCATGGCCTGTCCAAACTTCAGTAATACAGCAGCTTCATAGTCTCTGCATAGCTAAGGAGCAGGTCCAACCTCAATCCACAAATGGAGAGGTTTTATTTTTATTTCTTATACAACCCTAACAATTTTGGTCATGTGAACCAGGGAAGAGAGACCAAGGAGAAGACCTACTGACAAAGTGGTAGAAGCAAGAACTGGCAGCAGGGTTCAGAAAAACAAGACCAGCGAGGCATAAGAACAGGTAGGATACGGAAGCTTTCCTACCATAGCCCTTCCCCCAAATCAAGTGGACCTTGCTTGGCCACAGCATAATGTAACCACAGTGCCAGAGAAAGACATGAATATATGCACCAGTGCCCAGGTTGGAAAAGCATACTTGCTGAGTCCTCTGCCTGGAATTCTCTTACCCAAGCCCTTGGATAGCTGAATCTACTTACACAAGTCTTAGATCAGAAGCCCCCTTCCTCAGAGAAGCTCTCCATGAACACTCTAAAAACCATGTAGCCTTGAGCCAGCTAAGGGTACCTTTCAAGTACATATCACGCTATATTTTCCTCTTGATATGGCTTCCTATCAAACCCTACAATGGTCCTGTTCATGATTTATTTACTTTGTCCATATTTGTTTCCTTCTACTACAAGAATGAAATTTTTATGAAGGCAGGCAGGGGCCCTATGTAACCTCCAGAATGCTTATGACTTTATGAATGAGCAAATAAACTGAGTATAAGCAGTTCAGAAAACATTAGAGTATGCAAGGTTAAGATTTGGCTTGAAAATGATTAAGATAAGGGTTTGGATTCCAAACACAGTGTCATCTAATTCATCTTCTGGTTATTTTGCTACAGTTTAAGTGTATGATTATTTTACATAATCATGCATATGTAAGAGATACAGTCATATTATGTGAGGAGTGATGATTTAACACGATGGACAGAAGTTATACTTTTTTGTTATTTTGCTTTTTGAGAAAGAGTCTCACTCTGTACCACGGGTTGGTTTGGAATTCACTGTGTAGCCTAGGATGGATTCAACCTTGGGGCAATCCTCCTGCCTCAGCTTCTGGAGTGCTAGGTTACAAGCATAAGCCACCATATGCTCTGCACTGGCAGAGCCTACACATTGGGAGTTCTGTATTTTAAAAGTCATTCTGGCAACTTTCTTTCAAAATATTTTATTTAAAAATAATGGGCCCATCAGCACTTGGGAGGCAGAGGCAGGCGGATCTCTGTGAGTTTAAGGACGGCTGGGGCTACAGGGAGACCCTGTCTCAAAAAGACAAAAAAAAAAAAAAAAAAGTAAAAATAATGGGCCCATGTTAAATGATACTAAGTGGTAACAACAGCATTGCTATTAAAAGTACTTTATTTACTAAGACTACTTTCCAGTTACATCAATGCAGGAAAAATGTTCTTATTTTGGGTAGATTTATATAAGCACAATTCACTGTGATGACATCTTATGACTGTACTTACCAAGACAGAACACAGAGCAGAGCAGGGGAAAAAAAAAAAAAGCACAGTACCTCCTAGAGACACACAGAGACAGACAGAAATCACAGCTACAGCTGCTTCCGGGGCACCAGGGGCATCTGCCCTGTTAGTGTAGCCATGCAAGTGGCTCTATGAGAAAGGTCCTGTCTAGCAAGTGCAGGACTCCGGGCTTGGTCCCTTGTGACAGGTGGAGATAATCAATACTGCTCAAGGTGGTTCTAAGAAAGAAATTCCCGAAGCCCTTGGAACAAATACTCCTATACCAACATGATTCCTTTAATGAAACAAAATTTTACTTGTCAGAAAGAGTGCTTCCATATTTTAGAAGTATTTCATTTTACATTTAATTTTTTATTTATGTGTATGTGTATCTATGTGAGTGTATGTCACAAGTGTGCAGATGCCCATGGAAGCCAGAAGGTGGCATCAGATCTCTTTTATCTGGAGTTATAGGCCTTTGTGGGCCACTTGACCAGAGTGCTGGGAACTGAACTGGGGTCCTCTGCAAGGGCAGCAAGCACTCTTAATCGCTGAGCCATCTCTCCAGACCTGGGTGCTTACATTTTTATTGCCTTTATTGGCATTCAGTTACGTAATTTCAAAACTATGTATTTTGGTGGATCAAAACCAGGGTCTCATACATGCTGAACACACATGCTATTACTGACCTAGAAATACACTGTTGGCCCTAAATGCATTTCAATACATGTATTTGTCCTATAAAGTCAATGTTTTCTTATGTGTATTTTCCTTTTAGTACAGAAAATAGGGGAAGTCAATTTTGGTTCAGGCCTCCAGTACCTTACCCTTGTACATGCTGGCGACAGTGCTATCCTGTAGAAAGGAGAGAGGACTGAGGGGCAGTGTGTTCCGCTACAGGATGCCAGGATGTCAACTGCACTCACAGAAAGTCCCAAGGATAAATAAAGGGCGAAAGCTCTCATGTAACTTTATGGCCAACTCAGTATATTACCTACTATAAGCTCCCATATGTTAGAAAGTGTATGTTTATGAATACAATTATAAAATTACCTATGATTATAATGTGGAAGCATTTGCTCAGAGTTGACCAAAGTAGTCATGAAAAGAACTGGGGACAATGGCGCCAGGAGAAACGGCAATGTAAACACCTGCACAGGGCGACAGACAAGAAGTGCCACGGCTTTGTTCTGAGGCTCCTCATGCTTGGGTTTGCATCATTCACTTGTCAGCAAGTGTGCCAGGCACTTCAGACAATGATCTAAGTGTGAAAAACAAGCATTGCATCTACCTCTT